TGGGTTTCACCTAGTCCAGTTCCTTTTCCTCCCTCCCTCCCTCCCTCCCTCTCTCCCTCTCCATCTCTCATCTTTAATGCTTCTTTGGTTTGTCATTTTGTTTTTTGAGGCAGGGTCTCATAATTTGCTATTTAGCTGAAGTTGATCTGAACCTCTCTCTCTCTCTTTTGTTTTTGTTTCTTTTTGTGGGTTCTGGATTTTAGAGACAGGGCTTCTCTATATACCCTTGGTGTCCTGGAACTTGCTCCATAAACCAGGCTGATCTTGAAGTCAGAGATACACCTGCCTCTATTTCCCAAATACTGAGATTTAAACACATGGGCCACCACACACAGCTTTAAATAAACATTTTGTTTTGTTTTGTTTTGGGGGATGGGGTTCGAGACAGTTTTCCCTATGTTACAGTCCTGTTTGTCCTGGAACTTACTCTGTAGACCAGGCTGACTTTGAACTCCAAGATCCGTCTGCCTCTGCCTCCAGAGTACTGTGATTAAAGGTGTACCCCACCACTGCCTGACTTTTTTTTTTTTTAAAGACAGGGTTTCTCTGTGTAGCTCTGGCTGTCCTAGAACTCACTCTGTAGACCAGTGTGGCCTCAAACCCTCAAACTCAAAAAGATCCTCCTGTTTCTGCCTCTGGGATTAAAGGTGTGCACCAGCACCCGGCTAATAAGCATTTTAAAAGTCATTACTCCCCTCGTTGCTTGGACAAAGTGCCTAATACAAGCAGTTTAAGGATTTGTTTTTGTCCAGTCTGAGGCACAGAAGGCGTGGCAGCAAGGGCTTGAGGTAGCTGATCACGCTGATCCAGTCAGGAAGAAAATGGACCCTGGTGCTGGCTTTCTCATTTTGGTTCCTCACGGTACCACAGCCACAAGAGAGTGGAGTTCACATACAGGGTGGGTCTTCCTCCTCAACTACCCCAGTCTAGACGCTCACTCACAAACATGTTTCCATGGTGATGTTAGAGCCTGTCACCTGAGGAATTTGGAGTTCCCTGATCACTATTCCTAACTGTCTTGAAAGTACTAAGTGTAATTGGCTTGGAAGAGCCAGCGAACCTATAGTTACCATCTTCCTGCTAAGACACACTGTGTTCCTCTGTCTCAGAATTTGTTTCCGGTCTGTAAGGCAGTTTAGTGAATAGTGAGTCTCTGTAGAAGGGGTGGGGTGGGGTGGGCAGGCAGTCATTTGGTCAAAGGTAGGAAACACAGGTTTGTCTAGAGGCCACCCAAACACTTCCTCATTTCTGAGGCTGTATGTTTACCCAAGGTGCCCGGGGAGTTATTAAAGTTATAGCAAGGGGACCAAAGGCCCCTTCTATAGCCTGTCATGATGTCACTGTTATAAGCCAGGTCCTGAGACTGCTGGTTCCCCCATACCCTGGTCGCTCAACAGCACAGTGAGATGTTCTACGTCATAGGTTTTCTGCCCCCATAATAAGTTTCTCTGCTAACGCAGGGAGCCAAATTAAGCTGAACTTAAAAAGTTTAACAGCAGGTTTGTTGAGAACAAAGCAACTCCTGGGTGGGTTCACTGGTCTCAGAAAACAAGGCCAGGAAAGCCATGCACCTGAGCTAAGATGGGGGGGGGGGAGGTTCATTGTTGAGGAATATTATTTTCAGGTGTATTACTTTTATTTATGCTGCATTTGATTTACTATGAAGCTGTGATTCTTTGTTTAAAACACCTGATGGTCCTAATAAAGAGATGAACAGCCAATAGCAAGGCAGGAACAAGGATAGGCAGGTAGAGAGAATAAAAGAAGCAAGGAGGCAAAAGAGCAAGCAAGAGAACAAGAAGAGGATGGCAGGGGCCAGCCACTTAGTCAGCCAAGAAAGATAAATGCCCAGAGGGAAAAGGTAAAGGGGATAATTTAAGACAAGAAAAGCTTGCAAGAAACAAGCCAGGCTAAGGCCAGGCACTCATATCTAAATACGTCATTACGTGTGATTTATTTGGGAGCTGAGTGGTGGGCCCCTCAAAAAGCCAAAGAGCAACAGCATTTCACAATATTTCATAGGTTGTAGGCGAGGGGTGATGATGTGTCCACCACAAGCTGGGCTTGTGCCCAATACAGTCAAAAGCTGAGCGCTTAAGACGGGGACTGGAGCGGCAGGTGGTACTTTTGGAGCCTTTCCTTTGTTTGGAGACTCTCTGAGCAGGCAGGGTTTGGAAAGAGAGAGAAAGGAGACAAGAATGGGGCTTCCCAAACTGTGCAGAGGCGAGCCCAAGGCTCCAACTGAACACTACTGACCTCTGAAACCGTAAGCAAGACAATGAAACACTTTTTTTTCTGCCATAGTCACAGTGTCTCTTTACAATAAACAGAAAGGTAGTCGGACGTTTCATTCATTCAGTAACATCGCCCATCAGACCCTGCTCTAGACAGCAGTGAGAACCAATGACCCTTTCCCCATGAGTTACCACTGATGGGAGAAATCAGATCAATAAGCCAGAAAACAAACAAAACATCAACTATCATTTGGGGAGTCACTGGCAGGAAGACTTTTTTTTCTCTTTGAAATAGGGTCTCACTATGTAGCTCCAACTGACCTGGAACTAAAAATGTAGACCATGCTTGCTGTGAACTCATAGCGATTCTCCTGCCTCTACCTGACTGCTATGTCAGCACCACACCCAGGAGGAGTTATTGACTGGCCATCCGGAAGGGAAAAGGCTCCTCCTTCCTGGTGACACACTTCAGTCACACTGCCCCATCTCACTGAAAACTATACAAATGTTTGTGAATAAAAATAAAAGGAGGGGGGCCGGGCGGTGGTGGCGCACGCCTTTAATCCCAGCACTCGGGAGGCAGAGGCAGGCGGATCTCTGTGAGTTCGAGACCAGCCTGGTCTACAGAGCTAGTTCCAGGACAGGCTCCAAAGCCACAGAGAAACCCTGTCTCGAAAAACAAAAAAAAAAGGAGGGGGTGACTGCTCCTAGGTATGGTGGAGGGAGGAGTTCATTGTAGCTATGAGGGAGAGCATAGCCAGAGACATCTGGAAGAACCCAGAGTGAACATGACCCTCAGTCAGGCCAAGTTAAGAAGGGATAGGGGAGAGCCAGGGGACCAGGAGACCAAGAGGCTAAAAGGGTCTGTAACCAAGATGACTGGGTTATATAGAAATCAGAGAAGTTGGGGGAAGAGCAGGCCAGCCCAGTCCCTGGGTGGAGTTTAGGGTAGGGCTCTGGCATGCCAGCCAGGAGGACCCCGTATCAGGTAGGGACTGAGGGATGTTGGGAGAACCTGGCAGCCAGAGCCTACTTTGATGTTAATAGGAATCTCAACAGTTTGTCCTGGGTTTGGGGCCTAACATTAATGAAGGAAGGAGTCTAGAAGAGACCAGAGAAGCTAAATGGAGGAGAGGGAATGGTGCCTTACTTAGCCTGGGTGTTCACACAGGGCTCCCAGGGGCAGTGACACTTGGGAAGCCTTATAAATAAGGTAATAGGCCAATCACAAGGCCTTTTACAAATCATATATTTATCCCCCACATATGTACATATGTAGGCAAACTATTAAAGAGGGGATTCAACACTCCCTCCCCCACTCCCTAACATAAACCCATTTATTGCTTTTAGAATAAATTACTTTTAGGTTATGCCTGGAAAAGCTTTTAAGAGCCCACAACAAAAAGCAGTTGTGGGCTTCAGGGCTTTCCCCAGGGCAGTGTTCTGCAGCTCACTTTCTGACCTCAAGGCATTCTTGGCTTCCATCACCTCGAGTCATCTGAAGTCTGGAGACCATTCTGGTTGGCACTTAGAGGCAGAGGCTGCAGAACACCCTATAATGAAGCACAGCCCACTGCCCCACCTCAGCCCCTCCCCAAAGGAGTCAGGTGAAGTCAAGTGTGAAATTGAGAGGAAGAGGATGTGGATCTCTTCACAGCACACTCAGTCGACAGGGCCCCCAGGACACGTTTCTCATTGGTGCACATTTGCAGGTGGACGCCATTCTGCCAGAAGCGGTGGCAATGCATTCTGACAGATTCAATTCTATGTAGTGGTATTTTATCTGTATTCCTTTTATTTTTATATTTGTATTTTAAGAAATAAAGCTTGCCTGAAGATCAGAGTGCAAAACTAAGCCACTAGAGGCCAGGAGGTGGTGATACACACCTTTAGTCCCAGGACTCTTCCATCCTCCAGCCCTGGCCCCGCCCAGCCTCCTTCCCTGACCCACAGGCCCTGACCAGCTCTGCTGCTTTCTGCTGCTGTGGACATGCAGCTTAGCTCACCCAGCTCCAACTCTACTTCACTAGGCTTCCTCCTTGGCCAAGTACCAGCCAGGCCTTCTTCCCAACACATCCTGTGGACTGGGAGCGGCTTCCGGGCACCCCAGACAGCTTGCTCTGAGAGGTCTCTTATTTTATCTATCTTGTTCCCAGTGCCTAAGTGCAGGACTGTGTCCTCTACTATATATATATATATATATATATATATATATGGAAATACTGGGGATGGGGACACTGGACAGATGGCTCAATGGCTAAGTACATAGAGTTTCTTGCAAAGAACCTGGGTTCAATTCCCACCAGCTACATGGTGACTCATGACCATCTCTAACTCCAGTTCCAGGTGAGCCAATGCCCTCTTCTGGCCTCATTTAGGCAAACATCTGCACTCATAAAGTAAAATAGCAAGAAAGACTGGGTTGGGGCTCCACTGGTAGAGAGCTGGGCAAGCATGCACTAAATCTGAGCTATTTCCCCAGCACACACAAACCTGGTGGTGCACACCTATCAGAAGTTCAAGGTCACCTTCAAGCACCTATATTGAACAGGTTTGTGACCAGCCTCGGCTACCATGCCCACAGACACACATGTGCACACACACACACACACACAATTTGTGAGTAGAATCAGGTAGAAAGTAAGTAACCCAGAACTGGCCACAGGGGACGTTTTAGAACCAAATTGTCACCCATGTGTGGTGTTCTACAGAGAGGGAACCTCCCTGAAAGGCAGTTACACAGAAAGACAACCACCAAAGTTTGGTTCTTGAATATGTATTTTTACTGAAAAAATCATTCATAAATTAACATACAAAAATGTACAAACACATGAGTGAACAATGTAATGACAAAGGACTGCTTCTGTGAAAAGTGTTTTTAAAACATCTTTAGATTTCAGTGCAAAAATGTACCCCTGGCACCTTTTAAACAGAGAGCAAGCTCAAAACAAACAGAAGTAACGATGGAATAAGCTAGCTGCGTTCAATGCCTCATCAGTGGTGTGTGGGTACAGTCAGTACATGCTCCGCTACTGGCCTCTGAGGAAGGGAGGTGCTCACAAGAGTCCCTGTTTCAGCAAAATCAAAGGTTTGCAAAACCCCTCTCCCTTGAAAGAAACCCTGTGTGAAGGGGAGCCTTCCACACACAAGGCAGTCAAGGGCAAGGCTGGTTTGAGGGTCACTCGTCTGTAGCACTGAATAACCTCAGCTGCCAATACATCAAGGTCATACTCGCTCCTCGCTGTCATTTTCTTTAAGCATCCTGTGACCTAACTAACATGTGGCCTGGTGGTATGGTTTTGACTGTGACATTTCCCACTCAGTACGTGACTTAGTGGACAATGATCAACAGTGCCCGCTAAGAGCCCACATTAAAAACAAACTTGGACATGATTGCAAAAGAATATAAGCGACCCTACTTTGAGCAGTAAAAAGACCTTTCCTTTTGTCCCCAAATTGGTGTTTCTTTCCAAGTATCAGCCTTTGGCCCAAAGCAGTACCCTGTGGCAAGTGTGAGAAGGCAGAGCTTCAACTGGGACACATGCGGCATGCACCACTGTCCCTCTCTGGAAGCCCCTCCAAAGGACCATGGCTCTGCCACACTGAAAGCAGCTCCTGGCCTTCAGTGCAGAAACAGGAGAATGAGGGGAGTGAGGGCTGGGCCCACGGCTCAGTGGCAGAGCACTCAATAGCATGCCAAAGCCATGAGTTTCATGCCCAGCACTTCAAAACTAACAAAAGAAGGGCAGAGGGTCTGGACTGGGGACCAACACAATCTTTATTGCTGTGTACCGTAAGACAAAGGCAAGTCAACGCAGCCGTGCAGCTCCTTGCCCAGTGCAAACAGATGACGCAGCTCACCAGCGCTCTCAAGGGCAGGCACCTGCTCTCTCATACGAGCGGGAAGCATTCTGCAATGCCATCTGTTCCCTAAATACCACTCTATTCTACAAAAAGAACAAAAACAAGAAAGAAAAAAAAAACAAGGCCTGGCCAATCACTCCCACAGTCTGTGGGGATCATATGTCCACAGAACCAATTTGTGCGATGCAAAAACCCCAACCCCACATATTTACACACCCCACACCCACTTATGTAAACCATGAACATCGAGGGCGCTGAAGGCAAAAAGGCAAAGAATAGAAGTTGGAGGCCTAAAGAGAGCACTCCTCACCACATACAGATCCCTGCTGTAGGGACAGGGCCACAGCAAAGGCAGACACAGGAAGGAAGAACCCTTTTGACTGCAGTTTACGAACTGCCATCAGGAAGCAGGGGCGACCTCTGCTGGCTGCCTGTCAAAGCTCTGGTGAGATCTCACCTGGATCCTAGCTGACACACAGCACCCCAGTGCCACCTCCTCCTTGACTGAGCCCTTCCCAATCAATTGCTTGTTAGTACAACACAGCATCTTCCCAGAAACCAAAAAAGGGGAAAGGAGAAACCACTGAAGCCAGCTGGTCATGCAGGCACAGCTCTGAGAAACTGGCCAAGTTCAAAAGAAAGAGGAGCGTCACCCAACAGGCACCCTGAGATGTTGAAGGGATAAAAAACAAAGTCCAGAGAGCTGGGTCTGCACAGTGCCACCCCCTGGGAGGGGGCGCGGATCCTGCTACACAGCTCAGGTTGGCCTGGAACTTGCTATGTATCCCACAACAACCTCAAACTTCCTGTTCATCAGCTCCTGCCTTTCACACTGGAGTGATAGCCCTGCACCCTGCCTCGCCCAGCCTCCACATACCCTGGCACTGAGGGGTCTGGAAGAGGGGAGGGAGAAGTGAAGGGGCTGTAGTGACAGGTTCTTTGCTCTGCCCCGTGTCTACTCCCTTCAGAAATGACAGGGATTTGGGCGATGACACTCTCCAACTATGTGGTAACTCAGTTGTGTTTGCCACCCAAGGTGATCTAATATACGAAGCCCTCACTCTGAAGTGGAGCCAGCTATAAAATTAAATTTTAAAAAGGCATTTTACATGGCTTATTTACAACTACACTTCTTCAAGAAGTGACTGTTATGTGCCTATCACCCCAGGTCCCTCCCCTTCGCCCTTAGTTCCCACCTAATGCAGCTAATTTTCTAAAAAAAAAAAAGAAAAGAAAAAGAAAAAAAAAGGATAGAAAAGAAAAAATGAGAAAGAAAGAAAGAAAGTATTCTCCCCAAAAGCAAACAAAAATGAGAACCAGAGATGCAGAGAACGGTGTGGCAGTCCTCCTGCTTCAAGCCAGGGGTGGCTGGCCATGGCCTCTGGGTCTGGCCATCCATCTATCCGAGGGGCACCTAGCCTGGCCCTGGGGTGGGGACAGAAGAGAGCAGCAGGGCAGGCATCTGTCTTGTAGAATGAAGCCAGTGCTGATGAGAGGTGTCCCCAAGCCGCCTGTCCCTGTTTGGGCCTACAGCGAAGGCCTTTGTGCGTGTGCTCTGTGACAGTTTTCTGGAACCCTATGGTCCTGCACTCCACTCTCTTTCTGTCCTCGTCCTGTGTTGACCCCCAGGACGGCGCATCACAGCGCTTCTGAGGGGGTGGTGGGTAGGCGGATACGACTTCTCTCCACATCTCAGTACTCAGTCACCTGAGCCAGCTCGGGTGTCAAGTTGACAGTTATGTTTTTATACAAGGCGTCGTATGTGATGTTTGCAAAGTAGTTCAGGTTGTTGAGGCCGTCTAGCCCTTGCCGCTCCTTTGACTTCCTCAGCAGAGCATACCTGGAAAGCCAAGGACAGAGAGGGACTCAGAGCCAGCATCCCAGCTCCACAGTCAGGACAGCTGCCTCACCAGCTTTACAGCATCTCATCTAACGCCTCAGGTCAAAGGAATGGAAGCTCAAGAGACTGACCCAAGGTCAGAGTAGAAAAGCCCCAGAAAGAGATTTCAAACAGAGGAGGGGACAAAAAACAGCCAAGTTAGAGCCCTGCTACTCCCCTGGAGACACTTTCACAGGGCAGGGCTTAGCAGGAGGTGACACCAACTCTCTCAGATTGCATAGGAGACCCAAATATCTAAATCTCACCAATGGTCAGGCAAAATGTCTACCTTGGCTAATCAGAACAGACACCCGTGACACCTGAAGTCACACTGCAGGGGCAGAGGGGTGTACAGCCAGATAAACAATACCAACCTTCCAAGAAACTGGACTTCTCCTCGATGATGGTGAGGAATGGACTTGTATTTTCCTGTGTCCCCTTCTGGCCGGCTCACAGAATAGCCCGCATTCTGTACCCTGTCCAAAACCAAGGAGACAACAGTGAGATGTTGAAGACCCAGAGATTAGCAAACTCTAAAGACACCTCACAGTTTCTCCAACAATGTCCAAGTACCTTCTCACTCATATAACTGATCTGACATTTATTTTAACGTGCTAACATTTCGTGTGTGTGTGTGTGTGTGTGTGTGTGTGTGTGTTGACATGCATGTGCTTGGAGAGCTAGAGTTGCCCAATGTGAGTGCTGGGAACCAAACTTAGGTGCTCTGGAAAAACAATAGGTGCTCTTAACTGCTGAGTCATTTCTCCAGCCCTCAGACATGTCATTATAAAAAGATTGTTAAGCTGTCATTTGTTTATTTTTATATATCAGGAGAAATTGAGAATAGTTGCCTTCATAGAAAGTAGAGATACATTTTTAGTTTGGTTAGAAGGGTTTTTCTGTTGTTATTTAATGTTATAACTGTAATTTTTAAAACAAACTCCAAATAGTTACAACTCCCAATATTCATCTCCATCATGAAAGAAAATAAGTCAGTCACTCCAAGAATCCCATCAGAAGGCTGGGTGGAGCTGCTGTATAATGTGGTGGGGGCATACGGGAAACACCCACCAGCTCACACCGACAGCTGGCTGAAATGTTACTGTGTATATGGTTCTTTCCAATGTGGCCTCAAGGACACTGGATGACACAGGTAGCTCCTGGTGGACACTGTGGCAGGGTGGGGGTAGGACGGGGGTGCATACCTGTTCCACAGATCGTCATCTTCTCCACCCCAGCCCCAGAAGGCATTAGGAAAGCCATTGATTTTCCGAAACTGTTCTACAGTCAGGCCGCTCACTCCACCAAAAAACTCTGCGTAGGGAAGCCTGAAGGAAGGACAGCAGTCACGTTAGAACTAGAGTTGAATTTCCTGATGACTTTGTCTTTGTTTTCCTGCACTGCAGGGATGGAACCTGGAGGCTCACACAGCCAGGCAAGAGAACTGAGCACCTCTCCAAACTCTCAACTGGTCTGCAACAACTTTACTGTGCAATGAGTGACAGAGCACAGAATTTACTCAGCGTGTATGGAGTTGTGCAACCATGGCCATCTTCAGTGTTCGGCCACTCCACACTGATCATCACCACTCAAACATTTTGCCCCCCATCCTCAGTCACACTACTAACCCACTTTCCACCTCATGCCTGCTCACTGCTGAGCTCCTGCACAGAACACTACACTTTACAACCCGCCCATCAGCTGACACAGTTGGTCACAGCCAGCTGCATCTCATTTCTGCGACTGGCCTTTGGGAGCAGGAGACACTCACAGGTACATGTATTTGTCCAGCTTGGTTGCAAAGTGCCTGGGCATTTGTCCGCAGCCATAGTAGTTGCGGTCACTCTCGGGTATGTGATCCACATCATGGAAGATCAGGCAGTCCCAATCCAAGTCCTTCATGGCTTCTTGAAAGCCGACATTGAAAAGCATGGCTCGGTTAAAGGGCTGGGTACCAACCTAAAAAAACAAACGATCTTGAAGCAAAGACCTTACTGCCTTTGCTGCACACCAAAAGGGCTCCTAGGAGCCAAATGGACAGACTACTGAGCCCACAGAGACTGCAGCACTACTCAGCCCACAGTCACCCAGGGAATACACTGGACTCTGTCATGTTTCTTCAGAATGTGCTGGACCAACACAAGCCACAGCTGAAGACGGAGGCCTACAGCTACCGGATATACAGGAAACAGGCCGGGCACTACCAAGTCTCAATTTATGCTGCTCACACATCTAGTGAAAGAGGGTGTGTTCATCTCAGCCTTTTATTCTGAAGGTCCCACTACAATAGTCACTGAGCTCTCCAGGGATGACTGTCTGAGGATTATAAATTCTGTGGCAGGTAGAAACCAGTTCACACCAGTTATGGCCTACTTAACTACATGTTAACCTTCTTACACAGGCTAACACCAAAACATACACTCAGGACAGGGGCAAGGGAGGTGCTGGATGGTTTTGATGTTTGACAATTTGACACAAACCTAGACATATCTAGGAAGACAGACTTTTTTGTTTTGTTTTTTGAGACAGGTTTCTCTGTGTAACAGCCCTCCCTGGCTGTCCTGGAACACACTCTGTAGAGCAAGCTGGCCTTGAACTCACAGAGATCTGCTAGCCTCTGCCTCCTGAGTTCTGGGATTAAAGGTGAGGGCTCACACCCAGCAAAGAGGGACCCTTAATTAAGAAAATAACTCCCTAAGACTGGCCTGTAGGAACCTCTATGGAACATTTTCTTAATTAATGATTGATGTGGGAGGGCCAAGCTCATGGGGACAATGCTACCCTGGGCTCTTTATACTGAAGACAGTGTCACTTGCTGCTTTCTAGATTGTGGGCTCAGAAGAGAGAGAAGGAAACTAAATGTCACTCACTTGCTCGACCACATAGAAGGCAAACTGCAGGCGCTGGCGCTGAAGCATTGGGAGCAGGTGTCGCAGGAGGACTGGGAGGTGCTCATGGCGGTTCCGGAAGGGGATGAGGATGGCCACCTGCAGTGAATCACAGAACAGGGAGCCACCAGTTAGCTGTTGGCCTAGCTGCCCAGTTAGTTCTCTACATTGCTACACAGTTGGAAACCCCTAGATAAGCAACCCTTAGGGAGTGCTGAGACCCTCCTGACATTCTCTAATGCTGGCCTATGCAAGCAATAGCACCATGGAACTATCTGGATCCTATCTAGACTGCAGCTCTAGGAGGCAGAGAGACCCAAGGTGACCCAACACAAAGGTCTCTCTAAAAGTATGCCAACACAAAGTGAGTGAAGCTCCTCAGTGCTGCACATGGCTCGTTCTACAATGGTCATCTGTGCACACTTGCTACCATACACTCAGCTTGTCCCATGGCTTGTGTCATGGTCTGCCCCTCACAGGATCAGCAACATCCAAGCACTTTATCAAACACTTGTCAAAGAATGGCCTTTAGCTTCCGCCTCCTCTCCTGACTACAGTCATCCTACAAAGACCCAAGGGTTCAGCCGGAGAACTGCACTACAGTCCAGTTATCTTCCAGTAACTTGGGAGACCAGACAGGAAGCACTGGCTCTGCAAAGACACAGTTCACAAATGTGTCAGCTGACTTACTGACCCTCTCTCCCACAAATAATCCTGCCTGGGAACAAAGGGGTTCAGTGCCGCCACACGCCAACAGGGTGCTACCAATCTCTCTGGCTGCAGGAGAGTGCTTGGGGAAACTCATTTCTCGAAAATGAGAGGCAGAGTGCAAGTTCCCAGATGTCACAGTTCTTGAACCCCAGAAGTGTTCTTAACGCCTGCGGTCTGACTCACAGCCCACCTTCCATCGAGGCACACAGTCCGAAGGCTTCCAGTGGCCTCCAAGCTTGATGGCTGGGTCTCTGGAGAAGAGCTCGTGAATGTCGTCCATTCTGATCTCACTCATGTTTATGTCTATCGGGCCCTCTGGACACACAGAGAGAAAAACAATTAAAACTTTCCCAGGCTGAGCCCTGGCCGTGCTGTTTCCCATCTCTCTGCTCTTTAGGGTGTCACTGCCATCTGACAAAGAAGTGTAATAAAGGGACAACACCTTAGAGGTTGGCTCCTGCCAAGGTGGGGAAAGAACAGAGACCTTGAAGCAAAGAGGAGGCAGCTCTTTTCAAGCCCCCCACCCCACCCCCGCCACAGGGAGCTCCATTTCACTCAACACACATACTGCTCGCCCTTCCAAAAGCCCCTGAGGTAGCAGCTCGATTCAGAGGGACAGAGTGGTGTACTCAGGCTTGGCAGCTTGTTCAGGCCAGCTGCCTGTCTCCCCCCAGCCACCAGTGAGTAGGGGCTCTGAGTAATAGTGCTCAGAGCACAAACCATGGTGACTGTAAGTGCTAGGGAAGCCAGGAGTAGGGCACAGGCCTTTGATTCTAGTCCCCAGGGCTGCAGAGGCAGGAGCATCTGTTTTTGTGAGTTCCAGGCTAACCTAGTCTACAGAGCGAGTCCCAGAACAGCAGGAGTACTAATGCTGGAATTAAAGGTGTGACCACCATGCATGGCTTGAATTTTTTTTAAACCAGCATTTTGTTAGGAAAATAACTTTTGCTGGGATGTGGTGGCATACACCTTTAATCCCAACACAAAAGAGGCAGAGGCAGGTGGATCTCTGTGAGTTTGAAACCAGCCTCGTCTACAAAGAGAGTTCTAGGACCCTATCTCAAAAAACAAAATAAAAACAACAACAACAACAACAAAAAGAAAATAACCTTTGGCAACTAGCCAGAGTGGGATGGACAAGAAGTGTTGGGAGAGCAGGGGGTGAGGGGGGCACAAATGGGAACAAAGCAGGACACAGAAGAAGAAGGTGGGTAGAGGGGTCTATTTTATCAAACCAGTTATATAACCAGTGGGCAATTTACACTAAAATGGCAAAGCCATGGCCAGCTCTTTCTCCAGGACACCTCATGAAGGCCATCACAAAGGGCAGAACACAGCACCACTGAGAATGTGGGTCAATAGCAGCAGGTTTGGCTGAAGAGAAGCTGAGGTACAAGGAATTCTTCCGCCCCAACTCCCAGGGCAGGAAGCCTTTCACTATCCAAAGTCAGAGAAGCCAGCTGGTCACACTCTCCCTTCCACATTAGTTAACCAGAAGTTAAGTAACTTGTTAAGAACTAGTTGCCTGAAGCATCGAGGCAGGCCGGATCTACTTACTCATGGAAGGGAGCCTCTCTGGGCAAGGGTGGTTGGCAAAGTAGGTGAAATCTTCAGGAAGAAATGTCGTGGTTGGGGGGAAGGCTTCACTGTGGTTCAAGTCCAGAGGATAATCTAGGGAGAGAAGAGAAAGGCGGCTCAGCAAGGCACTAGTATGCTGACTCCTTCAGCTCCTCAGAAGCTTTTGTAGCTTGGTGGGAGCAGGCGGTGCAGTGCTGCAGCTAAAAATATGAAGCCACTCACAGGAGGGGACTGCTGTAATGGCTCCCTTCCCATGTGCATCAGCACTGTGGGTTTCTGATACTCAGTTTATAGCCAGTGGGAATCAGAAGGAAGTCTAAACAGCACAGATGACCCCCCCCCACACACACACTTCCTATTTTCCCAGTGCCTTGAACCTCTGACCAGCTTCCTTGGCATCTGCACTTGTTCACAGCCAAGCAGCTCATCCTGCTAACCTGCTTCTATGAATTTACTCTAGATGAGGAAGGCCACTGCACTTCCTTTCCATGGCCTGCATGTCTTGCCTCTTCTTGTCCTACAGTCTCCCAATTACTTGGCATAATTGGACTTAGGGGAGGGAATGTTTGGTGTTAATCTGAAGATGCCATAAACATCAGTCATAACTGAGGAGTGTGGAAGGTGATGCTGTTTTTTTGGTTTTCTTTTCTTTTTTTTTCTTTATGATGCTGTTTTTTTGGAGTTGTTCTCATCTACTCCCTCGGTTTCACATGGAATTGCTTATGACTCCCTCCCTCTGCACCACCTCTCAGAGAAGAGGAGGTACCTCCTTGCTGTGACAGTGCCCCATCCCCCAGGTCTTTCACTAGCGCCACTGGATGACTTTCACGCTTTATGTAGGACTGAACCTCATTTTTGAAAGTTCTAGTTTCCTCTTCTTGGGTTCTCCAATGGCTTCCTTAAGGGGGGTAAAGGGCTGGAGAAATGGCCCAGTGGTTAGAGTACTGGCTGCTCTCACAGAGGATTCAAATTCAGTTCCCAGACCCACAGTTCAAAACCACCTGTAACTAGTCTCATAGATTCAATGTCTTCTTCTAGCCTCTGTGGACACTAGATACAAACACTAGGTATTATGGCACACAGACACACATGCAAGCAAAACACTCAAATATACAAAATAAACATTAAGAAATACTTTTTTTTAAATTTATTTATTTATTAAAGATTTCTGTCTCTTCCCCGCCACCGCCTCCCATTTCCCTCCCCCAACTAAGTCCCCCCCCCCAGCCCGAAAAGCAATCAGGGTTAATTAAGAAATACTTTTAAAAAGATATGGTGGAGCCAGGTGGTGGTGGTGCACACCTTTAATCCTAGCACTCAGGAGGATCTCCATGAGTTTGAGGTCAGTCTGGTCTACAGAGCAAGTTCCAGGACAGCCAGGGCTACAGGAGGAAACCCTGTCTGGAGAAACCACAGCAACAGAGGTGGTAGAAAGTACATTATCTTAAAACCTAGTGTATCTGATGGTTTCTGTTTCTCTCACTTCATTCAAAGTGGTTGAGCTCTATAGTAGTGTAAGCAACTTCCCAACTTCCATGGCTTTTTAGCCTGTGGTGCTGAAGGTGGTTGGTGCTGTTCGAACACTTGGTCTTTTGGGTGTGGTTTGTTCAGGAATTGCAAATGGCTGTGCCTTACTGGGGATCTACTTCCAACCCTGTATTGGCCATTCAGTGGGCCTTCCAAGTCTGGAATTTCACTATTCTCTGGTTCTGGAATGTTTAGGGTGAGGTGTCCCTTCACTGTTCTGCTTTCCTTTGTTTCAGTAGTAGTGTTGCTAAGCATTGGAGTGGGAAGTCAGGCAGTTGTTAGGGTGTGGACACCGAGTCACATGGCAAGCTGTTCTGGCTTAGTACTGTGGTCCAGAGCCCCACTGTCATAAACTATCTTCAGGTCTTTCACTGGGTCTGGTCAGACTCCCCAGAGAGATCTGCTCTAGTACTCTGCCCTAACAGCAGTCCTGAATCAAGCACCCTGGCAGAGAGGACAAAAGTGCAACACCACGCTGAGGGAACTACTTTACAGGTATAAGGTTCTCAGACATTCCATAAGGCTCTCTTCACTAGAGCTTACCTGAGTCGTTCAGGCTACTGTTCCTCTTGGCATAGGCGCTTCGGACCACCTGCTCATACACCTGGGCACCAATGGTCCTCACATTGTCCCGAAGCAGGATGCCTTGAGCCTGCACCATGAAGAGGTAGGTATTCACTGTGGAAAAGAGGATGGAGGAGAGGTAAGAAGTAGGGGTGAAAGTATCTCTTACACAACTTAATCTCCTTCAGCTCTAAAGCTTTCCACCCTGGATTCAGGACACTCACAGTTCTTGGTGACCAGTAGGGCTCAGGGGAATTTCAGCCAATCCCAAGTCACAGATAAGCATAAAGTACAGTTATGTTCCACTTGGTGGGCAAGCCTTCACAGTGCCCTCTAGCACCGTGACAATCAGAAAGACCTTTACAGACCAGCGGAAACACCAGCAAAGATCTCTGTTCTCAGCACACCCACTTTATACTTGGTGTCACTCAGAAGCCTCAGGCCACTCTGCTCCCCAGGCACTAAAAGCTCTGTGTCCCTAGAAAAAACTGAAGAACAGTGGAAGGTGCCCCGCCCAGACTGCCACCACCCCAGGCAGTAAGGCAAGCACAGCTGAGTGTTCTTCAGGTACTGTGAGTAAACTAATGTATACTGTGAGCAGTGGATGGGCAAGCCATTGTCACTTTGGGCTCGTGTGGCTGCTCCAGGAGGGAGTCACACCCCAGAAGTCGTAATCCTCCTTTCCTGGCAGGCCACTCCAAGACTCACCACTCCTCTCAAAGGGAGGACTGCTTGACAAGATGGGGGGCATTTACAAGCCCTCCCTGCTAGGGTCTGAGGTGGAATCGTCAATGCCTGGCTGGCCTCTAACGTGGCCTCAGGCTGTTGTACAAGGCTTGCTGTCTGTCTTGGCACTCCTCTGTGCTCAGCACACATGGCCTTGGGCTAGCAATTCTGGCTCAACAAGCTGTATCTCGGTAACACACATCGGGCAGTAACAACTGAAGGGATAATGCAGTTCACTCCATTCCAGTCAGAGTCTGATGCTACACTGGGAGTAGGGACAAAGCAGTAGGACAACTCAGTGTGTAGTGTGGAAATCCCAGGCACCTAGCACCTTCGGAACGGAGTTGGCAGTAACTAGTTAATGCTCTGTGCTGGAAGATTCATGCACACCCACTCCACACTCCAAGAACAAAATAGACACAGGGTTCGTTCTCCAAGGGGCTAGAGAACTTCAAGTTTTAGTTTTTCGAGGCTGTCTCTCTGGCTGTCCTGGACTCAATCTGTGGACTGGCCTCCTGGGCTGGCCTCAAATTCACAGAGATTCGCCCACCTCTGCTTCCCAAGTGCTGGGATTAAAGGTGTCCACCACCATCACTAGCTTGAACTTCAGAATCTTTAAGACAGCTCTGAGAAGCTTGTGCACAAGACATTTTCTATTTCCAACTTGCAGGGTCACAGCAGGAGAGCTGCCTACAGTTCATCCATTAAAAGGGAGAGCTTAAACTTCCTATTATATCTCTTGCTTGCTTCTGTGACATTGTTCCATGTTCCCATAACCTTGTTTTCCTTCACTTCCACATCAAATGTCAGAAATCACCTTAAAAACAAGCTGCTCTTCTTTCAATGGGTGCTGGTGGGCGTACGTGAGTGAAGGCTAGAAGCTGTTATCTTCAGGAATGCCATCCACCTCCTTTGAAGCAGGGCTTCTTTTTGGCCTGAAGCTTACCAATTAAGCAAGACTGAGGGGCCAGTGAGTAAGAGGGACTCTCACGTCTCCAGTGCCTCAGTGCTCAGATCACAGGCACAAGGCACTATGCCTGGCATTTTCACTGGATGCTACGGATGGAAATTAGGACCTTTGGAAGTACTTTACCAACTGAACCATCTCTGTCCCCAGACAAATGTTTATGGAAGCATTCAAAGTACTTAGGTACTGCAGACAAACCCACCCCATGTTCTGAAAGATAATGCTAGCAGAGGGGCTCCACTGGCATAGCCATGTCATTCTTCCTTGTTCTTTCCCCAAAGAGAGTTCCGAAAGCCAGTTTCCCGCATCTGCCCCCAGGCACTTGAACTAGGACAGCCAGGGCTGAACCTATATATAAGTTGTAACAAGCTCACAGGTGGCATCAATGCCGTTAGCCAAGGGTACACCTGGAAACACACTGCTACAAGGAGCATTAACCGCCCGAGAACTGTGCGTTAATGCTTTATCTCTCTTACTCTCCCTAAGGAACTAAAGAGGTGAGAATCTATCTACACAGCAGTGACCTCTGAGCACCTTTAGCAGTCATTGATGAGGTAGGAGAAAACACTGTACCCTGGCTCTACCACTAAGGGCTTTTGGTTTGGTTTGGATTTGTGGGGAATGAGAAGTAAATTGTAAAGGCCAGAGGTCAGCATCATGTATTCACTTACCATCTCTCTCTACCTTATTTTTAAAGACAGAGTCTATGGCTGAACCCTCACCAACTATATAAGCTGACCAGCCAGTGAGGTCTGGTGAACTGATTCCTGTCTCTGCCTGCTCACTGCTGGGATTGCAGGTGCACACTAACCGCACCCAGCCTTTGGTTTTGTTTTAAGATGGGGTTTCTCTGTGTAGCCCTGTCTGTCCTCAAACTCACAGATCCACCTGCCTCTGCCTCCCTCTGGAATTAAAGGTGTGCACCACCACAGCCAACTTTACACCCAGCCTTTAATGTGGGTGCTGAACTCGGGTTCTCATGCTTACACACAGAGTACTTTACCCAATGAGACATCTCCCCAGCCCTGCTCTGGTTCTTTTGAGACAGGGTCTCCCTATAAAACCCAGGTCAACCTTAAACTGGCTATGTAGTTCAGACTGGCCTTGAGCTCACAAGGGATTATATGCATGTGCCACTTTCCCCAGCTACAGCTATTTCTTTTTCTCTTACAACTAAGTTTTTAGCATCCTGTTCCATTGTGAAGTCACAGAGGGGCCATGTACAGTGGTTGCTAGGATGGAGCTAGATGAGACCGGCAATATTTTTCCCCTGCAGAAAACTGTCAGATGGACCTTTCTAGACTTAGCCACATACATCTCCTGCTTCGCTGGGGCTGCTACTGATATACAGTGGTCTGGTTTTTTTTTTTTTGACATATAAAATCTCAATAAACCTTCAAACCTGGGTCAATACAGAGTTCTGGAGGGAATCTTCAATGCTAGCCTTCCCTTTCTGTCCCAGTTGTTTCTGCTAATGAAACAAAAAAAAAAGCAAAAAACAAACAAACAAACAAAAAACCATCCTGACAAACTACCTAGGGCAGAAAGGCTTTGCTTGGCTTACACTTCCAGCATGTAGTCCATTAGTTTGAGGCAGTCTTAAAGTGTGAAGCAGCTAGAGCAGAGAGATGTAAATATGTGTTAGGGTTCAGCTTGCTTTGACTCTTCTGCAGCTCAGGGTACACTTTTAAGCTTGGCTTTGAGGTCAAGATGACTCACTGGATGAAGGTCCCTCTGGCCAATCTTGACCACTGTCGAGACCTGGCTCTTAAAAACTGTCACATCCCATAAGTAAATTAATTTTTTACAGGGTTTCTTTGTGTAGCCCTGGCTGTCCTAGAACCCACTCTCTAGATCAGGCTGGCCTCAAACTCACAGAGATCCACTCGCCTCTGCCCCAAAGTTCTGGGATTAAAGGTGTGCACTGTCACCATCCAGCAGTAAATAAATTCTAATTAAAAATTTAAGGGGCTGAAGAGATGGCTCGGTGGTTAAGAGCACTGACTGCTCTTCCAGAGGACCTGGGTTCAATTCCCAGCATCCACATGGCCGCTCACAACTGTCTGAAGATCTAGTTCCAGAGGATCTGACACCTTCACACCAATGCACATAAAATAAAGTTAAATAAGCCATAAAAATATTTTTAAAAAATTTAAATTGGTTGGGCAGTGGTGGTTTATGCCTTTAATCCCAGCACTTAGGAGGCAGAGGTGGGTGGATCTCTGTGAGTTCGAGGCCAACCTGGTCTACAGAGCTAGTTCCAGGACAGGCTCCAAAGCTACAGAGAAACCCTGTCTTGAAGAAAAAAAAAATTAAATTGGTTTGCAATCTGTTTTATTAATAGCTTGTGAATACTGTCTCCTGAATGAGTCTTGTCATTTTACTAAGAAATTCACATGGGGGTTGGAGAGATGGCTCAACAGTTAAGGGCTCTGGCTGTTCTTCCTTTCAGAGGACCTGAGTTCAATATTCACCATATAGTGGGATCTGATGCCCTCTTCTGGAATAAAGGAGTACATGCAGAAAGAACACTTAAACATAAAACAAATAAAAAAAAAAAACTTCAAAAAAAGGAAAGGAAGGAAGGAAGGAATTAATTCACACAGGCAAACACCCGTAAAGATTTTCTTTACACAGGAACATGCTCAACCCTGGAAAACATAAAAGACCAAGAAGGCAAATGTTGTCAAACAAAGGGAAACTGTCACAGATTCAGACTCAGCCTGCCTGGGGTCAGTACCATCTAACACTGTCCAGAAACAATGGTTTCCAAGAACACAGGCAATCTGTAAGACACTGCCATCTGTAAAGAAAATTCTCCTTTGGACTGGGCTCAAACTGTCCCCAGTGACGTTAAACACTATATCTTTCTTTTTTTCTTTTTTTTTCGGGACAGGGTTTTTCTGTCTTAGAACTAGCTCTGTAGACCAGGCTAGCCTTGAATTCACAGAGATCCACCTACCTCTGTCACTTAAGTGCTGGGATTAAAGGTGTGTGCAACACTCCCTGGCTATTCAATACCACTTCTTTCTTTCTTTTTTTCTTTCTTTCTTCTTTTTTTCCCTTTGGTGTTTCAAGACAGGGTTTCTCTGTAGCTTTGGTTCCTGTCCTGGAACTAGCTTTTGTAGCCCAAGCTGGCCTTGAACTCACAGAGATCTGCCTGCCTTTGCCTTCCGAGTGCTGGGATTAAAGGTATATGCCACCACCGCCCGACTCAATACTATTTCTTATTCAACCCCACTTCCATGTGTATTCCTCCATGGCTGGCTACAGACAGAGCCAGCTGTCCACGGTGGCAGCTGGTACCTACACTCACAGAGAGGTCCAGGTGCAGCTGCTCACCTACTAACCCAAAACAGCCAACTTGAGCCCCCTTCAGAGGGGTTCACAACAGACAGCTCAAGACCCCTGCTACTCCCCA